TATCCTTTTCAATTTGATGTAGGTATTTTATATAGGAGGCTTTAATTAAGTTCTTACAGCGAGAACGGTATACTTTAAACAAACTGTGATATTTTTCAGTTTTATGTCTTCTATATAATTTCAACATATTAAATTTACTTCGAATGGAGTTAATTATTTCTTTATCAAACCACGGGGGATACTGATTATTACTTAAATTATTAACTGAAGAAGTTGTAATTTTTTTTCAGAAGTTATCTCGACATTGAATAAGATGATTTAAAATTATTTGGTTATTCGCATTTTGACTCACGTTCTTTGCCATAATCCACTTTATTTAAGTTATGAGGTTACATTGTGAGATAACTCATCTCAGTTTATGTGAATTTTTATTTTATATAACAACACTATTATTATTAGTATTTCACTGCCCCATCTAAATTGATATGCCTGTCCGAAACATACGTACCTATATATTTATTTATATGTTATACATTTAGTTTAACATTACATACATATCTTTACTACGGAATGGGACTATTTGGCGCGGCCGACTTGGCGCGGCCAACTTGGCGCGGCCGACTTGGCGCGAGCCATTTTGGCGCAAAGCCAACTTGGCGCAGGGACACTTTGGCGCAAGCCATCTTGGCGCGAGCCATCTTGGCGCGAGTACGTCAGTATATAATATAAAAAATATTTATTGCTCGTACTTTGGTTGGCACCCTGTTATTTATGCTAAGTGTAGGCAACCAAATACACATTTTAATTCCCACAAATTCTAATAACTAAATGATCCACGGAGCAAGAAGTTCCACGTTTAGGAGTATGTTTATAATGGGGTGCAGGGCGCGAAGCGCCCGTGTGTCCATTAAAAAGTCGACATTACCCCTTCCCGCGTTGGAGACTATAAAAATTAGGTTATGCTAACAACGGGTGCAATTTTTGTATATTTATATCTATTTTTCTTGGTACAAGTTCATTCGCGCCAAGATGGCTCGCGCCAAGATGGCTTGCGCCAAAGTGTCCCTGCGCCAAAGTGTCCCTGCGCTAAAATGTCTCGCGCCAAGTCGGCCGCGCCAAGTTGGCCGCGCCAAGTCGGCCGCGCCGAATTGTCCTAGACCGATCTTTACTATAACTTACAGAATTTGTCATAAAATGATAAAATTCGTAAAATCAAATTTTACAAATTTTTCGAAAAAGCTGGATATATTCTATATTCAGGGGGGGGGGGGGGGGGGGGGGCGAGGGAATTCAGCGGAAATAACCTTCGACAATTTTTTAACGTGGCTATAGGCAGTGCTGGGAAGCAAATTCATTAGTCTAATCAATAAATCTTTCTAGAAAGCCGTTGAATTCAAAACTTAAAATTGTATACAAAATTAAATCTAAATTTTGGCAATTATTAATAATGAGCTATTTCAAGTTTTAATTCTTAAACAAAATTTTCTTTTTAGTATTTTTTCTTTTGAATATATAGCAGTGTTTACCAGAAATTTTGACATTTTTTCAAAAAACTCTCAGTAGTGCATTTAATACTACTATTACAATATTGGATCACGTTAAGTAATATATAGGTGATACAAATTTTAGCAGATTCTTCATAATTAATAAGCAGACTTTGGTAGCGAGGTGATCATTGCTGTCCGATCGCCAGCGCTATTGCAGTCGTGGCCTACAGCTTCGGGAATTCTTAATAACAATGACTACTTTTTCTAGGTTTTCCTCAGTTATACGGGTTCTCCTAGACGTTAAAATGCTTTAAAAATTAAAAATGACTGTTCAACATCACAATTTTCGTGATTATCTTGATCAGATAAAACCTGAAAATTATAAAAACATGCGTAATGATATTTGTAATATTATATACAAAATAATGTATTTAATATATATTTTCTTTCCTCTGTGTTTAAAAAATTCTAAAGACCGTTAAACAGTTATTTTAAAAATTTGACGCAGACAGTTATCACTGTGCTTTGAAAGTTTCCTAAAATATTCTAAAAACGACCCCTGGATTTCTTTACCAACCCAGAGATGTTAAATTACGTACCAGCTCATTAGATGTTACATAACGTAGACGGGCGCTTTAATATGTAAAGAAAAATTTGTATAACAGTAAAATCATAAACTAAGTTTTAAATTAAGGACGCAATGCCTAGTGTACTTTTTCTGAAAATACATTTTTTGGGATATCTTCTGTGAAATACGGAAAATTCCAATTTTTTCATTAAATTAGAAAATTTGAATCTACTGACAATCAAATTATGAATAAATACTTAAACACTTGTTTATTAAAAGTTGTCAGTTTATTTTCAGGCTCCCGGAAAGTAAAAATCCAAGCAATTTATTTATTTATTAATTGGAATGTGCAATAAATGTGCAGCTGTCATAAATGAAGACTGCCGCAAGCTACATGATGAATAAATGTTTAATATTAATAATTTCATAATAATTTATGATTGTTTTCAGTAGTACATACAGTTATAGCTATAATTATTAGTTACTAAAAAAAATAATTATCTTTGCATCTGTAGAATGCTTATTGTTTGATTACGTCATTTTTTAGAGATGACAATAAAGCAAAATAATAATTATGAGGAATTCTGCCAAAAATATTTGTAGTCAAAGAAAAGGCGTAACAAACTAAATACTAGTGACCAACTGTTAGGACTTTGTTAGATCGAATAAAGATTAAAATTTAAAATGAATTTTAGCAGAATTAATAAATCAAAACGTTGTAAATATATTTATGACCCTTTAATGTTTATTAACAAGGAGCTGACGTCTAACGCATTAAATTTTTAAGAATTCACCACATCCTCTTTTGCATTGCACGATTATTTCAACGCAGGTTTTGGCAAAAGTACATCACTTTGATATATGTGGTAATCTAATATTTTTTAGAATTGACATAAGTTAAGTCGGTGTTTTCGTTAAATAATTAGCAATTTTTTAATTTTTGTTTCAAAATTTTTGATGTGATAATACTAATCCATAACTCCGCCGCAACTTGACGACGGTTTCGATTTAATTCCAAAGCTACGGTAAACTTTAACGACTAAATATTTTACTAAGCAATTAGACCCTTTATAAATGTTATATGTTTCGAGCTCGTACACACTACATTTTTTGATTAAAAACTTAAAAGAGTTTTTAAACCAATTATGTTATTCTGTTCTCTACCAAAGGTTGAAAAAAAAAAACAGAAAAGGAAGTAAATGTCACTAACAACATGCATGTGGTTTGTCTGATATTTTCTTTTTATTAAATGCTACTCCCTCGCTCTTGGAAATGGTTAGTAAAAAGTATCATGTTGTGTTGACTGAAGTTGTGTGCTTAAGTAATGAGATGCCTTTATAAAGCAACTTGTTTATTTTTTATTCTTCCTCTTTGAACTTTAAACAGGTGGTGCATCTAAACGGGAACTTCATTTCAACTTATAATGCATTTTATGTATAATTTGAAAATCTCCACATGAGTGACATTCTCTAAAAGATTAAGTCTTAAATAATTGTTTTGAAAAAATTTCATTAAGATAACACAGTCTGGTTCCGAGATTAAATCGGGATAAATTAAAGAAGAAAAGGAGGATAAACCGGCGTATCAATTTCGTTAAAGAAATCTAAATAATAGAATTTGTAAAAACTGTGCTTTACTTTCCGCAATTTAATAGGATAAAAACAGTATTTTAAGCCTCATTAACTTTTTAAAAATTCTTTCAGTGTCTGGCGATCATTTGTTACGCATACTTTCTGACGCCATCTATTCAGCTAAGTTTGAATTTCTTTACACAGTCCTTGCTTTTATTCAATTTTGAATGGGTTGGCGTTGCACAAAGGATAAGCATCCTGGTGATTAGGGTGAACTGAAACGAGAATAATACAGAACGGTGGATACATGGGAAAATTAAACTGACGGTTTATGTGAAAATGTGCCTCCGTAACAAGGACTCACTGTGCAGCTTTCAGTTTTTGATATCTTCTTTTTTAAGAATTCTTATTAGATATTCGCCGTAAAATTTTAAAGGCGACTGAAATTAATGCGATAAAATAACTAGGAGCTGGAAAACTCTGTTATATGACTTTAAAAACTACCCAAACAACATATAAAATTAACTGAACTACTTTGATATGAAGGATTCATAAAATTAAGTACTTGGAGCTGAGGCATTACGCCACAAACCATGTATTACTAAATCAAGATTTCATTGGTTGTAACAATAATTATGTAACTCCAGTGTATTGTCTCGAAGAAACTAAATCCAACAAGAAAATGCACACTAGAGTTCACACAACAGTCAGTCATAATTAATGCCAACTCTGATATTAGAAGTTTGTGAAAGTAAAAGAAGATTAGGAAGTGACATTTACTTCCATTTCTTGGGTGGAAAGTAACAGTATTATGTATAGGACTTCAAAAACGTTTTATATTTTAAAAAATTACTGTTCCACCAATTTTTTAACCAAATTACCGCTGTTTTCCATATTTTGATATCGTAAATGTTTGAGTTTTGATAACCTAACATATACGATAAGCCTGAGGAACACAAAGTTGATGAATCATTTTGTACCCACGGTATTATGTGGGTTCTGTTTATGCAAAATGTAGAGCAAATTAATATGTATTGTTTATATGTAATTTCCCTTACTGTTTTACAATTTCCTCGTTATCAAACCAATTTGCATATAAAATACAAACTAATCAATGTTGGCCCGAAATTATTGAATAATATTAGATATTTATGCTTTCATTATATTCTGAAAATTATGCATAAATGAAAAGCGTAAAACTAAAGTTCGCCTTATTGAACTCACAAAAGACAAGGAAAATTTTAATTAAGTCAACCTTATTGATAATTACGAGAGAAGTTACACGAAAAGTTAAATTAAAATCTACGAAGGTATAAACGAGTAGTATTCTTTCCGTGTACAAACAAAGAAAACGGTAAGAATGTGTTACGTGTTTCTTACGGGTCAGTAATAATTGAATGAAATACTCGGAAAATTACATAGAAATCTACTCACGTTTTTTGCAATTTTTCTGACAGATCTGCTTCCTTTCCACCATGTAATAACTGCGTCTGGCCTCGATCCAGTCGTCCGACACTCAACTTCGTAGTGTTTGCCCGCTGACACTTGTTTTTCTCTTGTTAGGATATTTACTGTTTGGGGTTTTACTGAAAGAAAAAAATAAGGGAATATAATGAGGGTTTTACCTTTGACGCAAGTTACTTTGATGTGACATTTTTGTCTCATGCAAAACTACCTTTAGGCAAGTTTTACATGACAGACGAAATTTTAATTTTCCACTAAACAGGGTAAAGGGATTTGTAGGTAGATTGTTACAATGTACTTATTTGAATATGAAATGGAAATAAGACTTTTTATACATATATTAAAATGATGAAAGATGAATATTACTAAAGAGTTTTATTTTTTTAGCAGACACAATCATAGGAAATTTGTATAGTTTACTATACTGAATACTCTTAGTAGGTATATTTTTAAGATCCAGATTTAACAAGTCATCCATGAAAACACAATGAGGAATAATACATTTAATATAAATAATCAATAATTACAAATTATAATGCATTCGGCCGAAAATTAGCATTTTCCTGAAATCTCGCATGTTGGCTAATAACATTAATGTTGTCCTCTAACAGTGATTGATAGGTGAAATTACATCAATATGTTTAATTAAAAAAAAGTACTCTAAACTCACAACAACATGGTTTTACCGCAAATGAATTACATGAAAGAGCATTTTGTAATTTCCTTAATTATGCTCAAACTCAACAGATAATTATCAGTTAATTTAGTTATTTCCTTAATGTTTATTGTAAACATGCTTTCGAAGCCATAAATACGGTAATTTTTCCTACGTATCAGAAAACGGTAAAATAAAACAGTGTCCTAACACTTATAAAAATTGTTGATTTGGAAATTGTAATGGAATGACTACTAATTTCACTGCTCATACTTGGTTGACAAAGATATATAAAATTTGTTTTTCCTACAACACATCCATATTCGCAACTCAGCAACTCATCCAAACAAAATATACCAAAACTTTTAAACAATGTTTAAAGATTCATCTTCATTGAGGGATTATAAAGTTACAAAATGAAATAAACTTTCAGTGGAGAAAAGTAAATAAATTAAACAGGAAGTCCATACTTTGGCTCCCAGAGCTCTTAACTCATTGTATGTCAAAGTTTTTATGATTACATTTTTCTTGTAATGGTTTTGAAATACACTGTGGCCCAAATAAAACGAAACAGATGCAACGGTAAGCGCTGTACTTGATTATCTAAAAAATGCTCGAACAGGTCGATTTTTGATTTAGATATTTACCTACCTTCTTATACTGATATCAGCGACATCATGTCCTTTATTGTCAACCCATCAACCGCATTTGAAAATTCAAACAGTATTAGAAAGATAATTAATAGGGCTTCCAAACAGGTGGTGAGGAGAGCGTTTTTGGGCGTGTTGAATTCTTGTGCAAAGGCCGATTCAAGATATTTTTACAAAAATTAAGGAACCCAGAACATCTAGGTGAGTACCTATTCGGCCAAGATATCATCTCATCTCCGTCGTCGCTGTTGTTGGTTAACGCTGTGAGCCCCAAATATCCGTCCCATGCTATGGTAACCTCTTCTGTGGGGAGAGTTTGGGTAAATTTGTCGGACTGGGGGAAGTAGTATGCAAGTCCGCTGAAGTGGTACCATTTCGCGTAGGTAGATAGGTTAAGCTATTATTTCATTGTTAATAGAGTTTCCGAAATTTAGTCCGTTGTCCTTTCGTTCTAGTCAATTCCCCTTCCTCGTTGGGTTAACTACCCAGCTGGCGCCCAAGGGACTCCCCAATGCAAAAAAAAAAACAAGGCAGGAGAACGTTACGATCGTCACATATAGATTTGGCGCTCAACGTGGGGCTAAGGTAGCGCTTTTTCTATATCCATCTTTATTTAGTATTTACTATAGAGTGAGGTTTCTATTTTTCTCTTACCTTATCCCTAAGACAGACAAGTGAGACGATTTTGTACGTCACTATAGTACTCTAATAATGATTAATTAAAATTTTACCTCGTTTTGGAGTGCTCGGTTACTGTTGGTTTAAAATGGATTCGATTTTTGGAGACAATTATTTGAAAGCATCGAAGCTCAACTATAAGTTAAAAATAAGAGGAACCGCCAAGTCGTAACGGCTTGATCATGATATAAAAAGGATATATCTTCGAAGGAAGTTACGGGAGAACATGAATAGGCCGAATTTGCAATATAATAAGCTTAATTTTCATTTTGATTGAAAAGGCAGAGGTGGACTAAAACATCGCGGTAGAACCCACAATGTTAAGCGCTTACGACGGAATAAATATGGATATGGACAAACGGATACAAACCAAGGTCAACCATTTGATGGGTTGCTTTCGTCGATTAGAGGTTGGCGAAGATAAGGATGACCAGAAAGCGTACAACGAGGATAAACTTATTCTAGTAGAGTCCTTGGAGGAGATGCATGTACAAATAATAGTATAAGTCAGCGATTACAGAGAATCGAGGAGCTAAGAATTGCACGTGGTACATCAAAAGGATAATTATTTAGATCTGCTGTGGACTTATTTCAGGGGCAAGCTTTAGCTTGGTACCGATCTGTACGGGATTCAATTAATTCCTGAGAAGAATTAGTCGCTGCGTTGAGAAGAGATTTTCTTCCTCCGGACCTCGATGATCACATCGCTTATAAGCAGAATCTATTTGGTCGTTTATCAGAAATTCCTACAGAGAACGTTCAGCTTAAGACCATAAGAAAAAATTCATTGCCAGCATTTTAGGATCACTTAGCAGTCTTAGCACCAATGTCCGTTCAGTATGTTATTCTAGAAAGTTCTTTCTAGCAGCAAAGACGTTTCCAGCCACCCTAGACGGTCTGTTGCCTTGCTAGAACCTGATTTGGCCTATAACTTAGTCGAAACTCCACATGCAGGTCCTTCTAATAGCTCCCGTCGTGCCAGCATCGCCGCAGTTTCAGACATTACCTGTTACAATTTAACGCCACTGTCCAAGTCGTCGTCAAGGTCCAATTTGTAGAGGATGCGGTAAACCAGGTTTTATTAAACCAAATTGTTCTACTTGTTCAAAAAACTAGTTCGTCGGCAAAGAGTGAGAGTCGGCCGGCACTCCCTGCGGCGTAAATTTGGTGGCTACCCTTCCAAAGAGTGGAAATAGTGGCTAAGAGTTGTCGAAGATTTTTACGGCCATCCTTCCAATTCTCACAGCGAGTCTAATAAATTATCTACCATCTTTAATAATAAGAAGAGTGTCAGTGCTAAAGACTCTCCCACTCAGGATAACAACCAGCGATCTTCATCGTCTAGTCGTGTGTATCCGTTAATTTCCTGTCATCATTCTAACCAATCTACTTTTAGGCATACTCATTAGTCCATCGGTCGGAGGTCAGACGCTGAAAATATATAATTTTGCTTTATTGGCATTCTACTCATTCCCCACAATTCTATCCCAGAATTGTTCATGGTCCTTAGAGTCATTTCTGAACCAGGTAGCACTTTCCAAGTCTAAAAACTAGGGCTGTGAGACTGCAGTCCAGTGGCATCTTCCTTAGCATAGGTACCATTTCCAAGTCTACAATTTTCGGACCGTTTGACTGTGGTTCGCTGGTATCTATTCCTTTTTACCCGGTGCCACCCTCCAAGTCTACAAACTCGGGCTGTGAGACTGCACTCCAGTGGCACCACTCCTTTTTTTACTAGAACACCATTTCCAAGTCTACAATTTTCGGGTCGTGAGATTGTGGTTCGGTGGTGTTCATACCCTAATCCGGTACCATTCCCAAGTCTACAATTTCGGACTGCGAGACTGCAATCCGGTGGTACCATCCTTACACGAGCACCACTTCTGAGACAATTTTCGGTCGGCGGTGCCCTTTATACCCAGCACACTTTCACAGAATTAAGGGGTGCAAGAAAAAATTCGTCTTGGAAGAATTCAACAAGAAAGCCAAACAGCAAGAGGATTTGGGGAAGAAAATTCAAACTCTTCTAACCAACGCGAGGAAAGACCCCGCAAAAAGAAAAACCCAGAATTGGCGATCCAAAAGAACAGAGCAACTCCAAGAATTTTGGAATGAGATTCAGCGAAATCATGAAGAATTGAAGATACTGGGGCCCACTCTCAGAACTACCCACAATTATTTTGAAGTGAAGTATTTTAATCAGCTAAAAGCTTTGCACGAAGATGCAAAGAAATACCTCGAATCAGTTCAGACGTCGCCCGACGTCGACACGGAGCAAGAAACCCGCATCCGACTTCAATTGTTCAGATTGCAACAAATCTCCACTGAGCTGACCAAGATAAAGAGCGATTTGGATCAGAACTACAGCCGAGCAAGGTATGAAATTCTAGCTGAAAAAATCCAAGGTCAGTGGAGAAGCATCATGGAACTGCATGAAGAAATCTACGTCCATGAAAGGGAATTATTCGAAGACAAATATTTTGCCGACGAAATGTGCGAGAAGACTGAAGAAAAGTACGAGGTTGTGGCCGAAAAACTGAAAGGAAAAATCCAGTCACCGTCCGTCCATCAACAGGAGAAACCAAACATCCAATTATCCCAAATCCAGCTTCCAACGTTTAGCGGAAATTATGAAGATTGGCCCAGTTTTCACGATCTATTCAGCAAAGTCATTCACAAAAATACATCGCTCTCCAACATTGAAAAGATGCAGTATCTGAAGACGTACATCAGAGATGAGCCCAGCAGAGTCATCTAACATCTTCAGATAATGGAAAATAATTACGAAATTGCATGGGAGCTGTTGGCAAAAAGATTCAGCAATATAAGGCTTACCGTAAGTAAGTTAGTAGACAAAATTTTGGATCAACCAAGAATACAGGAAAAATCAGCAAAAAGCTGAAAAAATTACATGACACGACAAAAGAATGTCTAGAAGCATTAAACAATTTAGACATTCAGACCGACACGTGGGGACCAATACTCACCAAAATAGTCTCTCAAAAATGGGACACAGAAACAAATAGGCTGTATGAACGGTCATTGAATAACCCACATGATCTGCAAGAATTCGAGAGGATGATGGAGTTCTTGCAAACAAGATTTCTATCTCTCGAGATAATTACGGCAAACAAGAAAG